TCTGAAGATGTCGCGCAAGAACGTCTTAAATTTGATCAACACAATCGTGGCCAACTCGTAAATAAATATACATAACGTATATTTCTGCAAACCATCTCATTTGATTACTTTTAGCTGCAAGTGTCCAGCCCATTCCCACAATTATGGATCAGCTGCAGCAGCCACAACACAAACGGGTCCAAACGAATACGCATTTGAGGTAATTACGGAGTGGGCAAAGTCCAAAGTCTATAAATGCTTATCATGGTTTTCTATGGACAGATGTCGGCGTCTACTGTGCGCTTTGGTCCAGGCGTAAGCACAGAGCTGGGCGCTGACCTGCGCAACTGGGGCGCAAATAATGTTTGTCTGGTCACAGATAAGAATGTGGCGAAGCTATCTTCAGTTCGTGTTGCCCTGGACTCTTTGGCGCGCCATGGCATCAACTACCAGGTGTACGACGAGACGCGTGTGGAGCCCACGGATGAAAGTTTCTGGCATGCAGCTCAATTCGCGCGCCGCCATGAGTTCGATGCATTCGTGGCCATTGGCGGAGGCTCTACCATGGACACGGCCAAGGTGGCGAATCTCTTTTGCTGTGATCGCGAGGCAGAGCTGCTTGACTACGTCAATGCGCCCATTGGGCGGGCCAAGGAGGCAAGCGACAGCTGTTCACATATAGATTTTTCGGCTGATTTTCTCTCTTCTCGTAGATTTCTGTTAAGCTGAAGCCACTCATTGCGCTGCCCACAACGTCCGGAACCGGCTCGGAGACCACTGGAGTCGCAATATTCGACTATAAAAAGTTGCACGCCAAAACGGGCATCTCCAGCAAACATCTGAAGCCCACATTGGGTGAGAGCTGCACACACGAGTCGCCAATTGCATGAGCTAATATTTGTTTCTGTTGCGCAGCTATTGTTGATCCTTTGCACACTTTGACGCAACCAGAACGGGTTATGGCCTTTGCTGGATTCGATGTGTTCTGCCATGCCCTGGAGAGTTTTACAGCAGTCGACTACCGCGAGCGCGGTCCAGCGCCTGCCAATCCGAGTCTGCGGCCCACGTATCAGGGAAGAAATCCCATTTCGGATGTGTGGGCGAAATTCGCTCTGGACATAATAAGCAAAAACTTCATAGATGCCATCTACCAGCCCGACAACCAGAAGGCCCGCTCCAGCATGCATCTGGCATCGACTATGGCAGGCGTTGGCTTTGGCAACGCAGGAGTGCACCTCTGTCACGGTCTGTCGTATCCCATATCGGGCCATGTGCGAGATTACAAGCCCGCTGGCTACTCGGCTGACCATGCCCTAATTCCGCACGGTCTCTCGGTTGTGGTCAGTGCACCGGCTGTCTTTGAATTTACTGCCTCCGCATGCCCCGAGCGCCACTTGGAGGCTGCTCAAATACTTGGAGCCGATGTGAGCGGCGTGAAAGCTGCTGACGCTGGCCGCCTGTTGGCGGACACTGTGCGCGGCTACATGCAACGGGCGGGCATAGAAAATGGCCTCCGCGAGCTTGGCTTTTCCAGCAGCGACATCCCAGCTCTTGTCGAGGGAGCTCTGCCCCAGGAACGCATTACCAAAATGGCTCCACGCGCACAAACCCAAGAAGATCTAGCTCGACTTTTCGAGAACTCAATGCAGGTCTACTAATTATAAATTTGCACTTACCTAAAATTTTTTTTTTTTTTTCACTTGACAGCAGTGCAAGTCGACCTAACGGATCTTCTCAATGAAGTTAGCCGCATAGGAAAAGGGCGTAGGGATTTCGATAACTTAAGTGTATAATCGAAAGAAGGAATTAGAAAACGAGCAATCGTAAAAGGATATCGATTATTAAATTTCATCTAGTACGCTGTTAAGACAATTTCGAAAATGGCTTAACAGCGGCAGTCAACTATAAATAAAGTATGTAATGTATATATTTGAATTATTATCAAATTATAATAAAAATTCAT